GCATTCCGACGCGGGTCTGTGAGCGCGACCAGTTCAGCATCATGATGCAGGACATCTTGGACCCGCGCTGTCCCGACGGGCCCGGCCCTGCGCCTCTCAGAGATCAGGGATACCACGATAGACGTCGTTGCGCGCGTGAAATGGTGGGCGCTTGAACAGGGGGCCCGAAGTATGGGAGAACAAATCGCTTGCGTGCCGTCTGTTTAAAGGGGGCTCGCTCTGGACCCCCTCCCCAGATTTCCAGAGGCGCCCGTGGGCTTCGTGACCTGAGCGGTTATCTTGATCCCCGGGAGCTGCGGTGGACCGTCCGCGCGGGCTTCGACGGCCTCTTTGCCGAATTCATGCGTCAGATCTCGCGTGCCCGCGAAGCCTGGGCACGCAACGAAGCCGCACGGAGTGGTGATGGTTGCGGGGCCCGCGCCAGTGAGCAACGTGCTCGAGTGCGCAGAGTGGCTGCGGTTCGGCGGGAGTCGAGTCGGCAAATCTTTCTTCAGCAGGCCACCGACGCGGACGGAGGCTCGCACAGTGGCCCCCACACTTGCTCCCAGCTGCTTGCCGAGCATTGGAATACCGCGGCGAAGGAGAGGCATGTGGACGCGGTGGTGGCGGGGGGGGGGGCTAGCATCTTGCATGACGCCGATCCCGCGCGACGATCACCTGTGCACCTCGGACAATGGCTCGACTTACCCCTGGGTGACCCTTGAATTCAAATTCTCGGCAGTCGTGGGGGGCTAAAAAGATTTGCGCCCTGGCCCTATGACACTCCCTACTGCGCGTGGAAGGGATGGTCCTGCACTCCTCCTCCTCCTCCCGCTGACCCTTCTCGTTCCTCTTCCCCCCGCTATTCCCCATCCTCCGCCCTTCTGTCCTTCACGCCGTCCTCTCCTCCAGCTTTGTTATTATTTTGGGGCCACAGAACCTCTTCCGGAAGCGTTTCATCAGCAGCCGCATTATCTTCATCACCATTATCATTGCCCTAAGCACAACCATCGTTACCATCACCGCCACCAACCATCACCACCACCACCACCACCACCACCACCATCATCAGCATCACCATCATCATCATCATCATCATCATCATCATCATCATCATCATCATAACGAAAGTGATGGAAACTACGAATAACCAGACGGAGTATAGTTTTCCGCCGTCGGGGACGCGTGGCCTTCGGCGGTTGGGAAGCTTATGCCCCGACTTGCCACAGTAAGTGTATCACCTCTTACACTTGTGGAGGACGATCAATCGAGAGGAAGCGTGCTGCCAAATAAAAATTATCCTGGCGAAAGACCCAACCATAAGCAATTGTTGGTAACGCGTTGTGGGTGCCGCTTTCGGTGGGGCTCCATATGGGGCCACGAAGCGCTGCCTTGGATGGGGGAACCGCATGCGGACTGCGCCACCGGGGCGGGCCTTCGGTGGAGCTCCCTATGGGGCTACGAAACGCTGCCCTGGGTGGGGGAACCGCATGCGAACTGCGCCACTGGGGCCTTCGGTGGAGCTCCCTATGGTGCCACGAAACGCTGCCCTGGGTGGGGGAAACGCATGCGAACTGCGCCACGGGGGCTTTCGGTGGATCTCCCCATGGGGCCACGAAGCGCTGCCATGGGTGGGGGAACCGCATGCGAGAGCAGCCACTGGGGCCTCGGTGGAGCTCCCTATGGGGCCACGAAACGCTGCCCTGGGTGGGGGAACCGCATGCGAACACCCCCACTGGGGCCTTCGGTGGAGCTCCCTATGGGGCCACGAAACGCTGCCCTGGGTGGGGGAACCGCATGCGAACACCCCCACTGGGGCCTTCGGTGGAGCTCCCTATGGGGCTACGAAACGCTGCCCTGGGTGGGGGAACCGCATGCGAACACCCCCACTGGGGCCTTCGGTGGAGCTCCCTATGGGGCCACGAAACGCTGCCCTGGGTGGGGGAACCGCATGCGAACACCCCCACTGGGGCCTTCGGTGGAGCTCCCTATGGGGCCACGAAACGCTGCCCTGGGTGGGGGAACCGCATGCGAACACCCCCACTGGGGCCTTCGGTGGAGCTCCCTATGGGGCCACGAAACGCTGCCCTGGGTGGGGGAACCGCATGCGAACACCCCCACTGGGGCCTTCGGTGGAGCTCCCTATGGGGCTACGAAACGCTGCCCTGGGGCCGCATGCGAACACCCCCACTGGGGCCTTCGGTGGAGCTCCCTATGGGGCCACGAAACGCTGCCCTGGGTGGGGGAACCGCATGCGAACACCCCCACTGGGGCCTTCGGTGGAGCTCCCTATGGGGCTACGAAACGCTGCCCTGGGTGGGGGAACCGCATGCGAACACCCCCACTGGGGCCTTCGGTGGAGCTCCCTATGGGGCCACGAAACGCTGCCCTGGGTGGGGGAACCGCATGCGAACACCCCCACTGGGGCCTTCGGTGGAGCTCCCTATGGGGCCACGAAACGCTGCCCTGGGTGGGGGAACCGCATGCGAACACCCCCACTGGGGCCTTCGGTGGAGCTCCCTATGGGGCTACGAAACGCTGCCCTGGGTGGGGGAACCGCATGCGAACACCCCCACTGGGGCCTTCGGTGGAGCTCCCTATGGGGCCACGAAACGCTGCCCTGGGTGGGGGAACCGCATGCGAACACCCCCACTGGGGCCTTCGGTGGAGCTCCCTATGGGGCCACGAAACGCTGCCCTGGGTGGGGGAACCGCATGCGAACACCCCCACTGGGGCCTTCGGTGGAGCTCCCTATGGGGCCACGAAACGCTGCCCTGGGTGGGGGAACCGCATGCGAACACCCCCACTGGGGCCTTCGGTGGAGCTCCCTATGGGGCCACGAAACGCTGCCCTGGGTGGGGGAACCGCATGCGAACACCCCCACTGGGGCCTTCGGTGGAGCTCCCTATGGGGCTACGAAACGCTGCCCTGGGTGGGGGAACCGCATGCGAACACCCCCACTGGGGCCTTCGGTGGAGCTCCCTATGGGGCCACGAAACGCTGCCCTGGGTGGGGGAACCGCATGCGAACACCCCCACTGGGGCCTTCGGTGGAGCTCCCTATGGGGCCACGAAACGCTGCCCTGGGTGCGAACGGGGCCTGGTGGAGCTCCCTATGGGTGCCCTGGGTGGGGGAACCGCATGCGAACACCCCCACTGGGGCCTTCGGTGGAGCTCCCTATGGGGCCACGAAACGCTGCCCTGGGTGGGGGAACCGCATGCGAACACCCCCACTGGGGCCTTCGGTGGAGCTCCCTATGGGGCTACGAAACGCTGCCCTGGGTGGGGGAACCGCATGCGAACACCCCCACTGGGGCCTTCGGTGGAGCTCCCTATGGGGCCACGAAACGCTGCCCTGGGTGGGGGAACCGCATGCGAACACCCCCACTGGGGCCTTCGGTGGAGCTCCCTATGGGGCCACGAAACGCTGCCCTGGGTGGGGGAACCGCATGCGAACACCCCCACTGGGGCCTTCGGTGGAGCTCCCTATGGGGCCACGAAACGCTGCCCTGGGTGGGGGAACCGCATGCGAACACCCCCACTGGGGCCTTCGGTGGAGCTCCCTATGGGGCCACGAAACGCTGCCCTGGGTGGGGGAACCGCATGCGAACACCCCCACTGGGGCCTTCGGTGGAGCTCCCTATGGAGCCACGAAGCGCTGTAATGGGTGGGTGAAACGCAGAGAGGAGGGAGGAGAGGGAGGAGGAGGGAGGAGGAGGGGGAGGAGGAGGAGAGGAGGAGAGGAGGAGAGGAGAGGACGCGGGCACCGTCTCTTCAAAACGAGGACCCAACACCACAGGATGGTTGGGAAATATAGCATCATCCGCATCATCGTCATCATAATCATCAGCATCATCATGATCAGCATCATCATCAACATCATCATCATCATCAGTATCAGAGAGGGCCCCGTGAACGATAACGCGAACTTACAACGAGTGCAGCTCCACACGGAGCGAATCAATCCTTCAGAATCTCACGATAGCACGATGTGGTGGAGCGGCAGCGGCGGCAGCGGCAGGAGAGGAAAGGGGGGGAGACGGAGAAGGCGAGAGGAAAAGAGAAGACGTGATGAGACGAACAAACAACACCTTCTCTATATAGAGATAAAACTATACAGTTTTGCCCCGACTCCCCAGCTGCGCGCAACGGCTCGCCTATTTCAGGTTGGCCTGAGCGCTGCTCCTGGTGTTTCCGTTGGTTCCCCCGTCTCTCTCCCCTCTTCCTTTTCTGCTGCTGCTCTGTTCCCCCTCCTCCCTCCTCCTTGCGCTGCTCGAGTCCGGGGCTATTGCAGGTTTTTACCTTCACCTCTGCACAGCAGTCGGTTCTCGTCTCGCTTTCATTCCCCTCAGCTTTCCTCCTTCTCCCAAAAAAAATCATCATCATCATCATCAGTATCATCATCATCATCACCACCGTCATCATCATCATCCTCCTCCTCATCATCATCCTCATGCTCTTGCTCCTGTTCCTCCTCTTCCTCCTACCCCTCCTGCCGCTTCTTCTTGGGCGGGGCGCCGCTCATCATCCTGTAGATTAGATGCCCGGGAGAGAGCGCGCGTCATTTGGGCGACACCCGCAGCGACACCCAGGCGAGTCAGCGCGGCATCCCCACCTCTCTTGGGCTGAGCGTTTGGGGTGCCACTGTGGAGCTCGGAAGCCTTCGGCTGGACCCCCAACCTTCAGCGCCGACCTGCCAGTATTCACCGTGTCATCCACTCCGTCCGGTACCGTTCCGAGGCGGCTCCGAGCGCGCCCGTCAGCTGACGGTCTCATGCGCAGGATGGGGAAGAAGGCGTGGGACGCATTGCCCCACCTTCCCCTCCCGTCCTCCCGTTATCAACCCTGTGAAACTCGGAAGATTTTCGCCGCACCCTTCCCCCCAGGCACCGACAATCCCCCCCCCCCAGCCCCCTGGTTTGCTGGAGATCGCGAACACGAGGCGGCTCGTGGCGGCCAGGAGGCGTCGCCCCCCCGCGGGCCCCCCAGAGAGAACCCCCCCCGGTCGCACGGCGCGCGCAGACTGGCGACGTGTTGCTGGCGGCCAACGGCACCGACACGCTCAACAGGTGTGACGGGGCGGCCCGCCTCCCCTCCACATCTTCGCGTCGTGAAGAAATCACGACGGGAGGTGTTCGGCCAACTTCGGCCTCTTGGGGCCGCCACTGCCAGGCCCAGGGGCCGTTCAGAGCCGACTCAGGGTGGACCAGGCTGTCCCCAGGAAGGGGTCCAGATCTCCAAGTCAAGGCGTCGGGTTGCGGGGTCCGCCCTCTCCCTTCCTTCTCTCCCCCTCGCCTCTTGAATGCCGCCCCGTCTCTCCCCCCCCCCCCCCCCCCCGTCAATGCATCCTCGCCCTCCCTCTCTCCCCGTCACTGCATCTCATCTCTGTGCCAGAACCTCCTGGCTGGGGGCTGCTTGGGGCCCGGACGCGCACACTGGCCCGACTGGTCCTTTCCCGTGCAGGCTCGGAATATAAGGGGGCGGGCGCACATTGGGCCCTCCCCCCTCCCAGCTGGAGGAGGAAGACCTCCAGCGCAAACGCCTGACAGTCGCGCGAGTGGGAAGCAAGACCAGGGCAGCTGGCAGGCTGTCTTGTCGCAGGAGTTACATCCAACAAGAAGCAATTTCACAAACATAAAAGTTTGACGGTCTTCGGGAATTTCTTGGATATGCGCTGGGCTCCCCTGGCGCCAGAGGCGCCGCCAGGATGCGCCGCCAGGGGACCCTGTGCAAATTTATGTTTATGCAGTTTTGTCTTCCTCCAGGAGTGCAAGCGCACTCCGAGGGTCGCAGCAACCGCCCGCTTTCTCCGCCCAAAGCGTCGGACAACCACCGCGCGCCGAAGGCGCTCCACCCCATTCCCCCGTGCGCCGACGTGGCGAGGTTTACCCCCCTGTCGGGGAGGGGCCCACGCTTACCAACGGTGGTTTTAGGCGACCCCCCAGGCCCATGTGGCCCCACAGCGATACTTCCGCATCTGTGCGTGATGGCTCTGTTTGGAAAAGGCAGCGTCCCGCCCGCCGCGCGCACGCGCCCTCCCCGGGCGCACGCTGTCGGCCGGTCGGCCCTTTCTTACCCATAGGGTCAACCCAAGCTTAACGGACACTTGTGCCACACTCATGGCGTGGAGGGCTACATCCCCTACTTCGCTTTCCCCGAGGATAAACTGAACAAGAGGATCCATTGACACATTGATATGGTGAATAACAACCTCTCACTATGGTTGAGGATGTGCCGATGTCATCGAAGGACTGGCAAAACACTGGCTATCAGCAGAAAAGTCAGTATTTGACGAAAGTGGTCTTACTTGATGGAGGAGGGTGTTTCTGCCAGTCGAGGGTGCTGTACGTCCCGAAGGAAGGACCACGCCATGAGAAGATGAGTGTGGAAATTCCTGAATCGGAATCCGTCGACGAGATCGGGGAGTCGAGCCTGCGCCGCCCCAACAAAATATCTTGGAAGCTTTCGCGCGCAGAAGAGCCTCGTGCGCCGAGGCCATTTGGTGATCGCGAGGGCCAGGGGCCGAATGTCGAGGGGGGGCCCATGGCCCCGCGCTCCTCGCCCCGCTGGGCGACCTTCCGCAGCGTGGCGCGCAGGTGCCGCCCGTGCGTGGCGAGGATGTGGCAATCCCATCAGACGGTTCTCTGGAACGGCACTTGGAGGACGTCATGGGCGAAGAATTCGCGGGCGACGCCGAACGATCGGCGACCGAACACAGACGGGAACAGACCAGCGTTTCGGTCGCCTCGCCCGTTGGGAAGCGAAGCAGGTCCAGCGACGTCCTGGACCACGCACGACTACGGCCGTGCTTCGAGCCAGCGGTGTCCTCGTGCAGAAGGTCGCTGCCCGTCTGGCCGGCGGCCGCCCGTCCAGCGCCGCCACCTACACGCACAGCTGTGCAGGGTACACAGCATGTCAGGCCCCTATATGCCGCCACGCTGGTTCGGGGCAGGCTGTGCTGTCCGGCGGAAGGGGACGAGGAGGGGAGAAGCAGGCAGACGACGACGAACGCCCAGGCGGGAGGCCAGGGCCGGCGGGGCGGGGCGGGCAGGCAGAAGACGGGCCAGGCGGAGACAGCAGGCAGGGAGCAGGGGGGAAAAAAAAAGGAGGGAAGCAACGAGCAGAAGCGAAGGGAGGGGGAGGAGGGGGAGGAGGACAAGGAGGAGAGAAAACAGCGGCCGCAAGCAGACAGGCCGGGCCAGGGGCCGGGAGAAAAGAGCCGCCCGCGACGAGGCTACGGACCCTACGCCGGCGACCTGGGCGGGGTGGCCGCCCCAGCGCGATGCGGTTTGGTGGGGATTGCCCTTTGCGGGATCCATCCACCGCCCCGCCGGGGAAGGGCCGGGCGGCGCATGGGAGGGGTCGCCAGCGCGACGTTGGCAAAAGGGCGCGGGGGGCGGCCGCGCTGCCCAGCAAGGGCGGGGGGGGGGGGGCGGGGGGCGCTAGGCAGCGCAGGGGGCACCTCACACGGCGTCTGCCGTGGAGGCCGTCGTGGCCGCGGCCAGGCGGGCCGCTGCCACCCTCGCCCCTCCAGACAGGGTCTGAAGGCGCCGCGACACCGCCCGCGCGTTCTCCCTGCGCAGGGAGACGGAAAGTCGCTGGGCATGTTGGTCCGCAACCAGTGCGGCGTCTTCCCCCGTGGCGTCAGCCACCCGCTTGGCCAGGACCCCGAAGGCCCTGCGTGCCTCGCGGCCCCACCCGCCGCCGTGGGCTTCCACCACCATGGGGGGGAAAGTGAAGCCCTGTGCCGCGCAGAGCCGCGCGGTGTCCTGGTGCTGCCTTCTGAACTCCTCGTACCGCTCCGTCGCTGCGCTTGACGAAGCGGCCGACGCGGCGAGGAGATCGGCGCGCAACCCTGACGTGGCGGCAAAGTCCCAGACGGCCGCCGTGCCGTTGCGCCACCGCGGCAGGTAGACGTCGGCAGGGCGGCGGCCGTTGTCGTCTACCTGGGGCCCGCCCTGCTCGCGCCCGGGGGCGGCCTCCCCGGCGGGGCGCGCGGGTGGCAGCCCCGGGCGCTCCAACTCCGCCCCGGCGTGGCCGGCGGCCAGGGCGTCGAAGAAGGCCCGGTTGCGCAGGGCGTTGTTGCGTTTGGTCCGGTCGCCGCGGCAGGCGCAGACCAGGGCGTGGTCGCAGAAAACGCCCATCACCTCGCCACAGGCTGGGCAGAAGCACTCCTCCTGCAGGAGCTGGACTCGCAGCCGCCTCTGCAGGCCGACCTGCATGAGGCCGCGCGGGAAGGCGGTGCCGGTGGCCTCGCAGGGCGGCGCCTGGAGCCACGCGGCTGCGCCTGGGGCCTGCGCCAGAGAGAGGTGCGCCTTGCCGGCCAGGGTGGAGCCCACCAGAAGTCCGTCGAGCGAGGCGCTGTCCACCGCGTCGGAGAGGGCCTTCTGGTTGCCGTGCTGCGCGTGGTCGAACGCCACCCGGTCGGCGTCCCGCACGACTGCGTTGTGGGCCTGCACCGCGGCCGCCAGGCTACCTCCGCCGCGGTCGGGGTTGTTGGAGTAGCCGGGGTACAGCTGCCGACAGAGGTCGGTGCTCTTCGCTCTGGAAGCGACGTAGGCGGCGGCGGCGTGCTTCGCGGCAGAGCGCAGGCCAAGTCCTCCCTTCCTGAGCTTTAGCTGAGCCTGCTGCCAAGAAGCGTCGGAGGGCGAGCAGCCGCTCAGTCGCTCAAGGCAGGCCCGGACAGCGTCGCCCATGGCCAGCAGGGAGGCGGCGTGCGCGGTGGGCGGCACCACGCGCGGAGTAGCCCAGCTTGCAGAAGGAGGCGCACTGGCGCAGGAGGTGCAGCGCGACCTGCGCGTTTCGAGCTCCCCCAGAGCCTCCAGCAAGTCGGTGGCGCTCGCGACCCGCTGCTTGGCGTGCTCCGCGCAGAAGTCCGCGTCTCCCATTGGCGCGCCGAGCAGCTCGAAGCTGCGATCGGTGCGGGGGCGGAAGCCCGGCGGGAAGCCGCCCGGAGACACGTCGGAGGCGTCTCCGCCAGCGGGGACCACCTCGCACTTGCCCGGGCCAGTGCTCAGCTGGAGGCCCACCGCGGCAAGGCTGGCCACGAGCAAGTGGAGGGGGCGCGCGACGGCCGGCGCGTCGCCCGCGAGGCAGCCGTCGTCCAAGTAGAAGAAACTCAGGTCGACGGCGCCGTCGGCGCCGTGGCGCGGCGCGCGAAGGGCGGCCTCGGCGGCGCGCTGTAGTGCTAGGGAGAACAGTAGGGGCCCCAGGGGGTCGCCCTGCTGCACCCCGCACTCGGAGCGGACTGTCTGCTTGCCCAGGAAGAGAGTTGACGGGCGGGAGTAGCACCAGTCGGCCCAGGGTGCCAGCCCGGGAAACTCTTCGTGGACCGCGCGGAGCAGAGCCTGCCTGTCCAGGGTGTTGAAGGCGTTAGACAAGTCCAGCTTCACAAACACCTTTCCCCGGTCCCCGAGGTGGCGGGTCTACCACTGGCGCGCGACGTGCACCGCCGCCTCGGTGCCGCCAGGGACCGCGACGCCGATCTGGAGGGGAGCCAGTCGGTCGCGCGCGGCGTCGGCAACCTCGTGGCAGAGGCACTTGCCGACGAGGCGCCGGAGCACCTCCCCGACGGCAACAGGGCGCAGGCCTCCGCCCTTCTCGGCAGGGCCACGAGAGAGGCGCCCGCGAAGTACTCGGACACGGCCGGCGGGGCTTGCCCCCTGGCGCAGAGGTTGACAAGGTTCCGGAGCTGGTCGGCGACCTCGTCCCTGTTGGCCGCGTTGAGCAGTGCGTCTTTGAGGTGTTGGGGTCGGTGGCCCGTTGGCCCGGCGGCCGAACCCCGGGGGAAGGCCCGCACCTCCCTCCGGACCGCGCCCCCGTCCACCTGCAGGGCAGCAGCCGCGTGGACAGCCGGAAGGCTGGCGGGATCCACAGCTCGGCGGCTGCGCGGGTGCTTCCGGCCCATCTGTTCGACGACGTCGGGGGTGGCCTCCACGGGCGGCTCGCTGGTCAGAGCCGAGCAGCTCTTGGAGTACTGGGCGTCTGCGGCGAGCTGCGCGCACCTCTCCGCTCGCTGGGGGGCTTGCGAGGCGTGCTTGGCAGCGCGAGCCTCGACAGCCTCGGCCCA